CACAGAAGGAATTGTTGGTGAAGCCACACTGGGTGTCCCCTGTGTGCCAGGAGCAGAGGCAGGGGTTAAGGGTGGCCTCGGAGGGGACTGTCACTGCAGGGTTTCACAGCTCTGCTCTTGGCATCCACATTGCTGGGAGCTGAGGGCAGACAGAACTGCTGGGAGCTGTCTGCAGAGTTCATCTGGCACACACTTCTCTCAGTTTCAGAAAATGTATTTTTAAAAATTGCAAGAGCAACTGAACATTGTAGATCGTACCAGCGTCAAAATAGAAACCTACCAAAAAGGAAGGTGGGGTTATTTCACACTTCTATTCACCAAGCAAAGGTAGAAAAGAAAGAAAGTTAAAAACAATCTGTGGTTTTCCAGTTAGAAGAACCTGTTTTACCTTCCTGTGTGCAAGATATAAAGGGACTCTCTAAATTACTCAGTTAACCCAGTGTCTAAAGGCAAAGTACTGGGAACAAATGCCCAAACTATCAAGCTTGGTTGAAAAAATTGAGGTACAGACAAAACAGTGTGGTGCAACAGTGTACGTGGTGAGAACAGCTGCCCGCCAAGCACTGCCAGTAACGGGGCTCTGCTGATTACAGCTCTGGTGAAACAAAATTCTGCCTTTGCTGGCTGTGAAGCAGGTCAGAGCAATTCCTGATGATCCCCGTGGCACAGAGGACTGCTCAGCACAGCTCAGTGTTTCAGCAAAAGCAAGGTCCACAAACAAACAAAGAGAGAGAAAGCATAAAAAAGCACAAAAAGCCAAAAGAAGCGGTAAGAATCTTGTACCACTAGATGGCAACCCCCCACCGAGGATGCTGCGGTGGCTCTGCCTGCTCCTCCTCTTCCAGTCAGGCACTCCTGCTTCCAGCCAGAATGAATTTTGACAAATCCAATCTTTAAGTGTACAACAGGGAGTCGTTTAACAAACACACAGAGTAAATTTGTGTGCAGCCTTATTTTCAAGGAGACACGTGCAGGATTCTCCATGTGGGGGTGCCCAAAGGGAAGGCTGGAGCTCTGTGTGTAGCCAGAGTGGTTTGACAGTCTTCCAGAATGCATGTGAAAATCTCAGAAGTGAACAATTAAAAAAAAAAAAAAAAGTCAGATTTTCAGTGGTGCTTGAATTGTTTTTAACGCTAGGTTTTCTAATTTAGCTACAGGACAAACACAAGAAATCAATTACCACCAGAATGCTAAGCAAGCAGCATCTACTGAGGGTAAAACACTTTCAGAGTGTCCAAGAGAGTGAGATGTCCTCACTTTGGATGCCTCAGAGTAAAGCCCATATCATCCCACTGCAAAGCCAAACCCACCCAGAAGCAATCAGTAAGAGGTGCTGTACATCCACACCAGCACAGATAGAATTAAACCTCATTCATATATCAGCTATTGGAGTCACTTCTATTAAACCCTGTGAAGCACTGAAATATTTCACTGATATAATCAGAACATCCAGGAACAAATCTATAGCACTGCTGCTGCAGCCCAGGAGTCATAAAGGGAGTCCTGATGGATCCACAGGTCAAAATTTGATTGATTTATTCTCTCCCACATGTATAATTTGGCATTATGACATATTTGCTGGCCCTTTAAGCCCTGGAAGGATGTAAGGATCCAATTAACTGATTTTAGAGAATTATTATAAAAATAAGGAAGGAAATGGCTTAAGCCTATTTCAACCTACTTGCACCAGTCAGCAGCTACGGAATTGGCTGGACAAATCCTTCATACAAGGAAGAAAAGGCCAGAGATTTCTGAAAAGGCCATTAGACACCATGCAGGGGAGAAATTCATCCCTCTTTGGGTCACAGCCAGATGCATTATTAGAGCAGAGACCCCCTTGGCCTTACAGAGAGCCAGCAGAAGGAAGGAGAGCAGCTCCCTGGGTGGCGTGTGGCCATGAACTGCTCTGGGAGCTCAGGTGCCCGGAAACCAAAAAAGCAGCAAATTGCTTTTGTCCTTGATATATACTGAGAAAGTGCTATTTTTCATTATCCACTACAGCAATTTGGTCCATTTTTGCATAACTTGAATCACCAACAACAAAGGGAAAAAATCTCTGAGAAAGAGAAATCAACATAGAATGCAAACAGTATGTCCAGTTTGCAACTGCCTTGTTTTTTTTTTAATTCTAGTATTTACCTGTTTCAGGCATGAAGTTGTTAGTACATTACCCACCTCCTATTGGAAATCACTGACTGGAAAAGAAAATTTTATTCCTTGTATATATTTATTTTTTCAAAATAATCCATTAGAAAAAGTTACCTCTGCTGTTGATATTCATCTTGTCTTTTAATGCCAAGCTTTTAATTAGCTGAAACTAATACTGCTTGTTTCCTTTGTGGTGTGAAAATTTAGTTTCCATCAAAATTTCACACCAGACTAACTTTTTACAAAACAAACTTCAAATGTTATTAAACCCTGTGAAGCACTGAAATATTTCACTGATATAATCAGAACATCCAGGAGCAAATCTATAGCACTGCTGCTGCAGCCCAGGAGTCATAAAGGGAGTCCTGATGGATCCACAGGTCAAAATTTGATTGATTTATTCTCTCCCACATGTATAATTTGGCATTATGACATATTTGCTGGCCCTTTAAGCCCTGGAAGGATGTAAGGATCCAATTAACTGATTTTAGAGAATTATTATAAAAATAAGGAAGGAAATGGCTTAAGCCTATTTCAACCTACTTGCACCAGTCAGCAGCTACGGAATTGGCTGGACAAATCCTTCATACAAGGAAGAAAAGGCCAGAGATTTCTGAAAAGGCCATTAGAGACCATGCAGGGGAGAAATTCATCCCTCTTTGGGTCACAGCCAGATGCATTATTAGAGCAGAGACCCCCTTGGCCTTACAGAGAGCCAGCAGAAGGAAGGAGAGCAGCTCCCTGGGTGGCTTGTGGCCATGAACTGCTCTGGGAGCTCAGGTGCCCGGAAACCAAAAAAGCAGCAAATTGCTTTTGTCCTTGATATATACTGAGAAAATGCTATTTTTTATTATCCACTGCAGCAATTTGGTCCATTTTTGCGTAACTTGAATCACCAACAACAAAGGGAAAAAAATCTCTGAGAAAGAGAAATCAACATAGAATGCAAACAGTATGTCCAGTTTGCAACTGCCCTCAGTTTTTTTTTAATTCCAGTATTTACCTGTTTCAGGCATGAAGTTGTTAGTACATTACCCACCTCCTATTGGAAATCACTGACTGGAAAAGAAAATTTTATTCCTTGTATATATTTATTTTTTCAAAATAATCCATTAGAAAAAGTTACCTCTGCTGTTGATATTCATCTTGTCTTTTAATGCCAAGCTTTTAATTAGCTAAAACTAATACTGCTTGTTTCCTTTGTGGTGTGAAAATTTAGTTTCCATCAAAATTTCACACCAGACTAATTTCTACAAAACAAACTTCAAATGTATAAGTATTATTAGGAAATCATTTAAAAATACTCAATCTAGAATGTTCTCCCTGGCTTATCTCAGGAGATTCACTACAATCGAATTGAAATATGATAAAAAATCAAGCAGCTCTTCTTTTTTGTCTGAAAGTCTTCCTTATATTTCTACAAACTTAGATCTGGAATGGGTTTCCAGGCAGTTTTTGCTGAGGACAGGCCCAGCCTTTCCCTTCACTTGTGCATTTTTCTTATGCCTGGCAAGGCAGCCTCCCTGCTGGGAGAATGTTTGATCAGCAAACAGATGTCCAGCCACAATTAACACAGGGCAATTAGGATCCTTCCTGTGCCTCAAAGGGCTCCCAAAATGGCCCAGGAGATGCAGATTTCCATGCCCAGCTGTGGGTGCACGTGGCTGGGAAGTGATAGCATCCTCTCCTGGGCTCTCCAAGAAGAGAGATTTGGGGGAGATTTGGGGCTCTTCATTCACCAGCTCTTCCCTGGGCTCTGCCTGGCCCACACCAGGGCTCCACGGAGAGCCCAGAACAGATTCCTTCCAGGAACAACACACTCTGGGGCTTGAAGAGATCATTTCCAGATCTGAAAAGCTTCCAAGTAACACCCCAGCCCTGGCCTCTGTGTATGCAAACACAGCCGGCCTGCACGTTCAGAGCTAAAGGAATTTATTAAGTCGAAAATGCCTTTTACACACCTTGTGCTCTCTCATCACATCTGTGCTGATGTCTCTGGTGCCTTCTAGAAATGCACTGCCCCAGCCAAAGACAGGACACCAGTCTGCGGCTGCCTCTCGTGTCCTTGTCGCGGAGCCCCGTGCCTGCATCCAGCAGCTCCGCGCTAAGCAGCGCGCCGGCATTCCCGGCGTGGTTTGCTGCTCACGCCGTGCTTGTGGGATGGGCAGGAGCGGGGCTGTGTGCGGGGCAGGAGCGGGGCTGTGTGCGGGCAGGAGCGGGGGTGTGTGCGGGGCAGGAGCGGGGCTGTGTGCGGGGCTGTGTGCGGTGCACACGGGCAGGGATGGGAGGGAGGAGCAGGGCAGTGTGCGGGGCAGGAGCCGTGCACACGGGGATGAACGGGAGGCAGGAGCGGTGCCGCACGGGGGTGCTCGGCAGACACGGTGCCGGCGCTGCTGCGGAGCAGGACCGGGCACCGAGCTCGGGAACGGGGCCGCACACAGCTCCACCCTTCAGGTCACTTCACCCTTCAGGTTTCGCTCCACCCTTCAGGCTACTGCTCCAAAAACCCCAATTCCCCCCGGCCGCCGGCGTTTCATTGGTAGCTACCTGCAAGGTGCAGGACGAGAGAAAGGGCTGTAAACATTCACGGTCACAAATAGAGTGCGACTGAGGAAGAGGGTGCACAGAAGGAGTGGTGCAATTCCCTGCTTCATGGAGCATTTTATTGCGTTTCCTGATGGTAACAGATTGATGCTATTGTGCTTGTTAGCATGGTCAGCTTTTATTACTAGGCCATTAAGGGTTTTATCTCTATGTGGATCTTTGAGGCTCTGAGGGAAGGTTTTTTCCCTGGATTGCCAACCCACCCTTAGAAGCCGGTACTAATAAAGTGTCTTGTTTCTGCCCCACAGCACACTGAAGGAAGCATTTGAGATGCTCAAGCAACGTAAGTGTTTCCCTGTTCCCTTCTGACCTGGGAAACACAGGCACCCAATGTGTCCATCGTGTTCCCCACACCATTCCCAGCTTTTCTTTCACAGCCTGTAGTGCAAAGAGGGGAGAAAAAGGATGCCTAGGTGTGCCCAAGGCTCAATGAAACCCTTTCACTCACACAAAATGCAGCACCATGAGAGCCAATAGGACACTGTAGCTGGTCACTGGCACCTGCTATTCACACCAAAACTCCCTCTTGAAAAGCAGCTGCTGGACTGAGATATTTTTAGGGCCTGGGTAGGGGAGTTCAGTATTTCTGGAAATTGCAGGGTTCCATTTCAGAGGCACTGAAGCTGACAAATGCAGAGCAGTTCCCAGCCATTTCAAACAGCACCAGCCAGGTGCTCTGAAATTCAATCCATCTTGACTGATCCTTGGAAATTCTCTGCATGCAACCTTATCTAATGACTGGCTACTGCTGGCAGCAGCTCCCAAGAGCAGGGACAGCCCAGCAGCTGTCACAAAGCACACACAGGGATGATGGAGGCCAGGGCTCCTTCCCTCCCTCTGCACAACTACTGACCCTCAGTCTCGAAGGAAGGGGGCAGCTGGGGTAAATGGGGCCATGAAGAAACACACTCACTCTGTTCTTGAGCCCTCAGCAATGTCTGCATGCAAAAACACAAGGGGAGAGCTTTTTTAAGGCTGCCCTGCCTGTGACAACTCATAAGGCAGTCACATCACAGAAACATCTCCTAAAAATGTGACTTTAAAGACCTTCCCACTGACTGAATATGAATTCTGATTTGCTTTAGAAATTGAAAGTGTTGGAAACTCTCATATCCAGCTGGCAGTTATGCTGAAGGAAGAACTGAAAGGAATAGAGGAGTTCCGAGAAAGGCAGAAGGAGCAAAGAAAAAAGGTGAGAAACTGGGGAAACGTTGAAAGAGATTGGGTCAATGGGCTGTGCTGATGACCTGTCTCCAGCCGTAGGATGGGAGTTGTGCAAAAGTTGTGCAAAGGACCAGCGTGCCCTGCTCCCTCTATAGATGAGACTGTAGAACAAAAACCTTTTTCTGATCCCAGCTGGAAATAAAATAGTGCTCTGAACTAGGTAGCCAGAAGCTTTAGTCCCTTTTACTCTCTCTGGTGTAACTGCAGATGCTGTTATTATTATTTCTGTAAGAACTTAATCCTTCCTTTCCTCTTTTTTGTACCCTTGCTAATGTTTTTCTTTGATATGACCCTGCACAATCTCCAACACACACTAAATAAAGGCATAACACAAACGTTTAAAAACATGAAAGCAAATTAATGTCATGCTGGATGCAACAGCAATATATGCTGAATTCCAAATACATGGAATAAGTAGCATCTAGTTGATGCTGTACACAAAAAAAGTTTAGTATATTTAAGGCCATTTCATCCCCTTTGACCTCATCAAGCCCTAAGTCTATTGGAAAATAGCTCATAATAGAGACAGCAGTGACCACTCTCACACCTTCTCTGGGTCTGTGGGCTTGAAGACAAAGACAGGACCATCCCTTCACTCTGACAGCACAGAGTGATGGAGGAGTAAAATAAATATTCCTTTCTTTGCTAATTTTAAACAGGTGAAAATGCATATAACCAGTATCTAGTGCCACAAAAATCGTGTGTCTACAAGCCCCTGACACACAGGAACTTGGAATAGCAAAGAATTCTGAATATGAAAGTGGGTGAAACCAGTGCTGCTACTGAGATTTGAGGTTGACAGTGATCTGATGAAGCAAGTGAGGCATTAAAAGACAGACAGTGGGCACCAGGTTCATCAGTGTTTGTCCCCCATTCCCTTTGCCACAGGGATGTGCAGAGAGGCTCCCTCCTGCTGAGAACTGTAAGCCTGTAACTCAACTGGGAGCAGTTAGAGGGGCCTGGGGAAAAAAAAAAAAAGGAAAAACTGCTTTGGAGTCTTAGATAAGCTTTTATTCTCTGTCCAGCATGTGGCTGTGAGGAAGCCAACATTAGACATGCTGGATGGTGTCAGCAGTTTTGGTAACCTCCCAAAGTGCTGTGATTTGTGTTGTACTGAAGCTGTCTCAGGACTGAGCCCAATGTGAAACATCTGGGTAGCCTGGAGAGAGTTTTGCTTGAGCAGAATGTAAAGATTAAAGGACCAAAAGTCCCCCTGAAGAAAGCCATCCCCTGCCAGCAGGAGCATATCTCATTGTCACATAAAGCTGGGCATCTCACAACTAAAGCCATGAAAGAGAACCCAGTGCTGTCCTTCCAACACGGCCCAGATGACTCCAGCATGGAAATCAAATCACACGGAGCATAAAGTTGCCAGAAGCAGTGGAATATACAAGAGACAGGAATTGTTTGGATTGAAAATGGACAACCACCTGTGCTCATGTGGGTGAGACCGTGGTTTGGTCTGCAGAGATGTGGGATCAAGCTCTGGCAGCAGCAAAGCAGCCCTGCTGGCAGAGCCTACTGTGACTGGCTGCTGCAGTATTTCATCTCCTTAAGAAAGAAAAAAAAGCAAGGAAGAAAATGAAGATCTACATCCTCTCTGCTATCAATGGAAACCACTGAAGCAGAATTATCAGGGATTATTTTTTTACCTGGCACTTTGATGGTCTCTGTATCACTTAGAAACCTGTCATTTATAAAAGCAGAGTGAAGTAATTTTGCCCAGAGGGAGGTGGCTTATAGAAAGACCCTGACTATGGTTCTCCTAATAGTGCTGCTGGAAGGGGGAGGAAGAAGTCCAAAGCAAGAACTGCTGACTTGTGTGTGTTTCTTACAGTACGAGTCTGCAATGGAGCGGATGCAAAAGAGCAAACTGTCCCATTATAAGAAAACAATGGAGGTAAGCAGGGAGGGCTGGGCAGGTTTCCTGATGCAAACTGGCTCCAGGAAAATCTGTATCACATGTACCTCTATTTAAAGAAAGGTCAAAGCTGTGTGAGTGTGCAAGAGTGTGTGAGGGAGGGAAGATGTCGTTCCTGCTGTGAGGAGGAAGCTGATCTTCCCTGCTGCACCCACTGAAATGTCTCCAGAAGGTTAATGCAGGGTGAATGGTGCCTCAGGTCAAACAGGATTTCATTCTCTCCAGGCAAGGGTGCTTGGAGGAGTAAATGTAATTTTTCAGTGTGTGTAAGTACAATTTTAAGAACAGTGAAGGAATCTTGTAGGCAGGAGGAATCCTCTCCATCTGAAAATCTTGCAGATACAGAAACCACAGGCAGCTGGGTTTGGTTTCCAGTGGGCAACTGCCTCTAAAGGAAAGTAGTTGCAGACCTGTCAGTGCTACAGCTGGAAATGTGCTAGTGAATTTTTTTTTTGAAATGTGGTGGTTCTAAGTGCATCTCTAAGATACAGAGATGTTTTGGTGCAAATAAAGATTTCTCCTGTTCCTGAGAACTACACCAAGACTGTTGCCTGTGGGGTGCTGGCTCTGCCTCACAGCTTGGAGCAATAGCCAAGGCAACACCTGACAACCCACCCCCTGGCCACCCCGGAATGTGGGCTCCCAAATTCATCTCTCCACGGCTCCTGGGCAGATGCCTGGTGCACCAGTGGTGGTAGAGCAGCCTGTGCCTTCCTGACCCCTGCAGGGAGTTGCAGTAGTACAAAGCAAGCAATTTCAGGGCTGCAGGAAAAGGATACAATTTGTGCTGTCAGCCCCTATTCCAATGTTTCAGTTCTATTTTCCTGCCTCCTTATGGTGCCATTGGGATTTTTTTCTATTGCCTACACTGGGCAGTGATTTGCTGCCCCAGACTGCAAAGGAAGAAGTGGCTGGAACATCTCTGGGGGAAGCCAGCCCTGCTGTCCCAGGCAGACCCTCATGTGTGATCTCATTTGCACCCAGTCCAAGAAGACCTACGAGCAGAAGTGCAGGGAGGCGGACGAGGCCGAGCAGTCCTTTGAACGCACCAGCGCTGCAGGCAACCCAAAGCAAACAGAAAAGGTACCTGAGATGACAGTGCTGTCCGGGGGGAAAAGGGGGGTTTGCCTTCTCCAGCTACAAGAGAATACAATTAATCCATTCTATAGGATGCCAGGGGCTTTGTCTTGAAATTAACCCCAAAGAATCCTCAGAGAAGGGACGATGTTATCTAATTAATTTATCCCAGGCTGTGATCCAATTGCTCTATGAATCCTGAAAGGAAACTGAATGAGATTTTTCTCTGATATTACTCATTACAAAAAAGAAACAAGTCAAAAATATGTCATGCTGTTAGTTTTGCCTTTTGGTCTCTTACACTTAGTAGGCGTAGCATCTTACATTAAAATGCGTATTTTTCCTCAACATTTTTCTCCTCACGGTGAGTTTAATTTCAACTAAATTTACAGACTCAAAAATAAATCGTTGGAAATTAAGGCACTGCAGTCCTTCATTGCATCGTCTTGATACTTGCAGCTGACAATTCACTAACTTTTAATGGGAACATTTTACAGGGAAACAGATGGAGAAAACAAAATAAATGAACTCCCTTCGGCTCGATAAAAATCAGTGCAGTGTAAGCAAAAAGGATCAAAAATCATCTCAAGGAGGGGGGTGGGGTGGTGGTGTGGAGACTCTAAAAACAGCATCAGAACTTTACATTTTATTTCCAGCATTCCCTAGTCTTTGATGAGAAAACCCCTAGAGCTTAGCTGCAAAGAGGGGACGGAATCCTGGCCCTGCCAAAATGACACCAAACATTTCACAGCTTCAATGGCAGCTAAACCTGACCCCGCTCCTTTCGTGCAGAAGGATCCCAGGGTGCTCCATTGCCATTTCTTCCCTGAACATGCCAGCATGTTGGGAATGCACAGAGGCAGCTCCCAAGCTGTTTAATTCTGCTCAGCATTTGCAAACAGTTTGGGCCAGGAAACAAATAAGAATGAACCTTCGGTTCCCAGCTTTCTTACTCCAGGTTTCCCAGCCAGCTGTGATGAGGAATATGATCAGAAGAGCCCCTGCCTGAGCCTTGTCTTCCAGGGCAGGGTGGAAGAATGTATTACACTGATGAGCAGAGCATTACTGTGCTGTCATCCCCATCTGTGCAGAAGGACCTGCTAGTACAGACCTGTCAGTGATGGCTGTTTTCTCATTTGCTAAAAGCTGCAGGTTTTTAAAACAGAGAACTTCTGCTTCGAGTGAATTTCGCTTTTAAGCTTCTGAGTTGTTATGGGAAATTATCTGGCATTTGCAAAGTATTTTAAAAGGTGTGTGCTTTTCATCTGAGTATTACATGAGGAGCTTGAAAGATGAAGAATTTTAAATGCCATTTATTTCTGCTTATAAATATCTATTAGAAAAGCACATCAAACAATTGAGGAAAAAACAGCTCAGCCAGCAGGCACAGCTTCAGGCTGGATCACACCGGCTCTGAGCTCCTCTGGCAGGGATGTCTGAATGGAAAGCTTTCCCTGGAAGTCATTGCATCTATGGCTGCACCTGGGAAATTCTGGTCCCTTCTCCACAGCACACATTCAGCAGAACTGTGCATAAAGGGGGGACAGCCAGGAAGTGCTTGCAAATTAGAGCCTTTCCCCTAGAGGGGAAAAGAGAGCAGGCGGCACAAAAAACTGGGGCAGAAGCAAAAATGTGTCAGAAGTTAATTTGGGGTGTTTCTTTTCCTGTTTCAGAGCCAGAACAAAGCCAAGCAATGCAGAGATGCAGCAAATGAAGCAGGTGATGCTGTTTGCAGCTAAACTGGACTATGAGTCTTCTCAGCAAAGATCTACCAGCACAGGATTTTGATAGAACACATCCAAATCACCCAGGCTGTCAGGGTTCCCAGAGTCATCTACCCAAATATTAATGAAGAAGCCTCTGAACAGCAGCAACCTGACAGTCATTGGCATTCACTCCCCTTTGTGGAAATGCCAGTGTCCTGCTTGCATTAAAGAATTTACAGAAGACTTCCTTTAGGGACTTCACCCAGGGAAGAAAAGCTCTTCTTGAAGCAAGTTTGAAAGCACAGTAGACACTCAGTTTGCCCTGAGACAGCTCAAATCACATCCCCCATGCCCATGTGCATGAGCACAGTAGTGATGTCCAGCCACAAACGTGTGTATGCCCAGGAGGACAGGCCAGCACACACCTGATCTGGCTCAGGAGCTCAGGCTTGTGCCTCCCTACCCATGGAATAGCTTACACCAGATCACGTGGCTCACCTGGCTGGCTTGGAATGGAAAGAGCCTAAGGATGCTCAGTGCCCAAGCATGGTCCAGGCTCTTCATCTCTGAATTGTGTTATCCCTACCATAAAGTTTATAACTGATCTGCAAACCACACCGAGAGATCCTTACTCTAGTACATAGCTACAAAGAAAAAACCCCAATAATTATTGTGCCCCACCAGTTACAAGCTCACATATTCTTGTGGTACCAAAGCAAACCACACGCCTGAAGTGTAGGAATCACAGGAAAGGCCCAATAGGAGGAAAGAGAGAAAGGCTGCAGCACTTTTCCCCTGACTGCTGGGTTTCTGTGTCTGTGTTTACAGAGAACGTTTACAAACAGAACATCGAGCAGCTGGATAAGGTCAGGACAGAGTGGGAACAGGAACATATCAAAACCTGCGAGGTAAACATTGACTTTTTGCAGTGATGTTTGCACACTCTTTATTTTATCCCATTGGAAGATTTCAGTCTAAGGCCTGAAATGCCATCCCAAGGGTTTTGCTGTTTGCTTTATGTGGAGTCTCAACAGATGTCTTTGCAAAATTACTGCAAAAACCAGAGCTTACTTAGACATAGCTGCTCCTGTGTCACTGACGTTCTCCTTGCTTGGTCAGCATCCCTATGTGAAAATAAAGGAGGGGAATAAGTGCAGAGGTGGGAGAGCTGGAGCAATGTATAACCTGCTGCATACCCCAGTCACTCTTTATGTTTCATAGCACTTTAAATTCACCTGCAAGAATATTTGTCCTCTGCCATGAAATAATCCTTCAGTTAAAAGGCAGTGGTAGAGAAGTCTCTATCTCCATTTCACTGAGGATGGACAAGGAGATTTGCACTTGGCTATTAAGTTTTGCACAAGAATTTACAGGAACTGGTTGGCATCCAAATCAGCCTCTCATTTGATCACAGTAATCCTTCAAGTACATTTGCCCATCTGCTAAAGTCTGATTTTGCTATATTTACTTGTTGCAGGCTTTATTTCCACATAAAATAAAATGCCAGGAGGATACATTTCCAGTTCTCTGCTTCCTCTTAAATATTCCCTATCTGAGAGGACTGAAAAGCCCCACAACTGGCACAGACATTTCCACAGATATGATGCCAAGCCTTAGTCTTCCAAAGATGCATATTTTCTCCCTTCTTAAAAAGCCAACAAACCAGTGAAGCATTCCACAACCTCACACTCTTTTTTGTCCCGTGTAGCTAAATCCTGGCCAGCCCACAGAGCTTGTGACCTGCTTACTGCTTAATCCAAATAGCCATTCAGAAAGTCAGGGCATCTTTAATGCCTTCTTTTAAAAGTGCTTGTAGAGAGAAGAACTGATACTCTTTGGGGTTTTTTGTAAACTAGCAATTAGTACAAAAAGCAGCTTAAAATCCTACACTTGTGGCTGCATAGCGGGGAATCTGGAAGTGCTGGGGTTGCTTGGGTCTGTAACTGAGTGCTGGACAACCACAGCCTGAAAATGCTGTGGCAAGTGGCAGCTCTGGGGTGGCCTTTGTCACAGGGCTGGGCCACGTTGTGCTGCAGTGCCCTGGCTCTCCAGGGATGTGGCAAACACAGCTTTTCTGGGTGCTGACAAGGGCTTGAAAGGCCAGAGGCACTACACTTCCCTCTTGGATTAACTGCATTTCCTGACAGGACACAATTTACCTGGAAAATTCCCCATTGGCTCTGGTGCTGTTCAGCAGCCTCGAGGGCACAGGCTTTCTAATCAGAATGAGCATTGAAATACTCATCCTCCACCTGGCAGGCTCTCTTTAAAAGCTTTACTCTCAGAAACCAGTCCCCACAGCATCTTACTCCCTTGACAGATTCCTTTTTCTGGATTTCTTTAGTTGGTAAGTTATTAGATGGCAGGAAGCATACCCAACGGAGTGTTCTGCTGAACGTTGTATACATTTGTGGTGTTCTGGACATAATTACTAGCAAATAGAGATGGAAACAGATGGCTGGAGGCATCTGAGATTTTCACACCTCATAGAAAACCAAAACTTTGTTCTACTTTTAACAGTATAACGTAGAGATCAGGGTGATTTGGTTTTTTTTCCAAGTTTTTAAAGAAAGATCTTATCTGCCTCTTCCCCCAAATCAGTTCACACTTTTCTCTCAGCCCCCTTTCCTCTTCCTAAGCAGTGCAGCCACATGAGGAAGCAGACAGATGAAGGAAGGCAATAACTCTGAAGACAGAAAAATGCCTTCTCTTTACCACAAAAGTAACCTTCGAAATGCAGAGTCAACTCCAGAGAGCCTCAAGTACTTTCAAAAGAGAAAAGTTTACAGAGACATTTTAGATGGCAGAGATGAATACTTTTGCCTCTACCTCTAACATAAATACAACCCTTTCATGGCAGTACTCTACTGACCTGTTAAACATCCAGATTTCAGTGTGATGGGCAGACAGCACCCTGACTCCGAAATCCTCAACAGCAGAAGTAGCAGTCAAATCCAGACCTGGATTCCTCTCCCCTGCTTTGTTTTTGTCTCTAAAATATAACTTTAATTTGGTGCAACCAAATTTTTGAGCACGAACAGTAGATGTAGTTTCACCACCAACTGAAAAAAAACATCCTTTACCATGGTGCCCTCAGCATAGGTTTGCACCCCCAGCCCTGTCCCACCTGCAGAGCCAGTAACTCAATGCCACGAGGCTCCATCACGTTTTCTGTTTGGCTTCAGGTCTTCCAGCTGCAGGAGTGCGACCGCATCACCATCCTGCGGAACTCGCTGTGGGTGCACTGCAACCAGCTGTCCCTGCAGTGTGTGAAGGATGATGAGGTACAGCCTGCCCTGCCCTGCCCTGCCAGCAGTGCTGGCTCCAGGGGAATATCTCCCTCCTGCTCTCCCAGATGCACGTGTGCATGCAGGCAGTCTGTGTCACAGACTGTCACAGTACCTGGTGGCACTGGCGTGTGTCCTCCTTGGTGTGCTGGGCAATGCCTCCTGCTCCCAACTCTGCCCAGTGTATTGGGCTCTGACACCATTTCAAAAAAGGCATCCAGTCATGGCCTCAAAAGTGGGAGATGTAAAGAATACACTAGATTTAACTTTGAATGGTTGTTTCCTGCTATTAATGTCTTTATTGAAAAGTTCTGGACTGCCTTTGTCCTGCCCTCTTTAAAGACCATGCAGAGCACAAACAGGTTTACAAGAATGTTGGTACAGGGGGCAGGCTAAAGAGCAGCCAGGTCAGACATGTACCAAGTATAAAGTGTTTCTTAAGGGGACAATTACTACAAGAGCACTGTTTGCTAATTCAGCATGAAATGTTAAAAGTTAAATTAAGCTCTTGGATTCTGTTTTGTAGATGTATGAAGAGGTTCGGGTCAGCTTGGAGAACTGTGTTGTAGAGTCAGACATAGACTACTTCATTAAGACAAAAATGACGGGAACACAACCTCCAGGTAATTATTCCTACTGATCTTGTCAGATGGTTTGTGCAGTACATGTCCTTTGGAGGTGAAACCAGCTGGAGGAATTTCTGCTCCAACTTTTCTTTCCCACCTGCCATGGCTCACTTCCCCCACACTGTGCTGCCATCACTGCCTGAGTGATGCTCTAAGTGGGATAGCAGAATGATCCAGCTTAAAAATAACCCTCCAAGGAAGAAAAAACTTGTTTTGGCTTTGCAGCCAGGCTCATTTCACAGTACAGCTGAATTGACACCGCTAAGGAGGTGGCAAATTGCCTTGCAGAAATGGCAACTTCAGCTGCCTGCAGTGGTGAGGAGACAGAGCCACCTTACCAAGTCACTGCATCCCAGTGTCCCCTCGGCAGAGGTGCTGCCTCTTCGCTTGCAGCACAGAGAAGTTTTCTGTTCTGTTCCACATGCCCAATGGGGAATAACAAATTTTCTGCTCTCAGGAAGTTTGCATAAGCCAAGGCTTTGGCTGGGAGAAATTCTGAATGAAATTGGCTTTGTCCCAGCACGCAGAACTGCTGTCAGGTTCACAGGCTCTGCCCATTCAAGCCAAAGCTGCCTTTCCCTTGACTTCAGTGTTCAAAACCTCTGGTCTGAAATGGAGATCGACCCAGCACGAGGCAAGAGCAGATGGAAAATGAAAACCTGCTGCTCCAGGGCAGGAGTTCTCCCAACACCCTGCAGGAAAGGAGCTGTCTGATGTGACACATGGCCAGGCACAAACCACACCCGAGCACTTCAACAGGCAACACCAGAGAGTTACACAAACCCTTCCATGCTGGGAGTTGTACGGGTACAAAATCAGCAGTGTGAGGGCCTGATCCCTGTGGGTAATTATCAGCTACAAGTTCCCCCCCTTTGATTTCACTGCAGAGCTCCAAGCTGGCAGGAATTACACCCCAGGCCCTTCTTCAGCAGAGCTGGGTGCTGCCACTAACTCAGCACTGAGCTATCTGAGGGCTGCTTTTCACTCAGCCTTTTTGCCATTTGTCTTATGGTGGCTAAAAATTGGGATTTTGGGAATTTTTAAAAACTAATATATTGAAACTGATGCACTAGATGCCATTTTGCTGCTATAGATTATTCTTCTTCACATGGGGAATTTAAATTTAATGATAAGGAGAATTTCCCCAGGAAAAATTACATTTTCAGTGGCAGAGAGCAGAACTGTGCCTTGCAACAGTGTGAAACAACTTCTGTATACTAAGAAATGTGTAATTCTCAGCTAGGTTTTTTTGGTTTAGGTTTTTGGGGTCTTTTTCCTGTATGAGATTTGTTATACTCCAGTCACCTAGGAAATTTCTACAAAAAGCTCTTGGCCATGCCAGAGTAATTTCTAATAAGAACTAGGTGGAAAAAACCCTTGAGAGCTTTATGAAAGGCAAAGAAAAATCTGACTTGGTTTTTTGTTGTTTATTTTTTCCAGCTTCTAGAAGGCAACATGTTCTGGAAGCAATATCCTAATTTCTCCACAGCTCTGGCTAATGAGTGTGCACTGCAGCACGTGGTGAGCTGTTGATCTGTGCTAGTGTTTACTAAAGGCAGGAGGAAACCCACGTGTAGTTTTGCATTGTGTGGCAGAAAACCTTCATCCTGACCAAACCTTGATGGTCTTGCTCACTTCCTTTTCTACCCAGTCTTACAATGCCCTCTAGGCTGGAAACTGCACCGAGCTGACAGTGCAGAAGGACAACAGGAGACCCTTAAATTGGTCAGAAAACTCCCTAATTACTACGAGTCTTATTTGTAGGGATTATTCACACTCTAGCTCTGCGTGCCTTGGCTGATGCAGTGTGCGAATGTCAACACAACCTTTAGCCCAAGGCTAATGTCTTTCTTAACCTGCTGGTATCGGGGCTGGGTAAAACACTATCACAGGCTTCACTGGTGTTTGTTTGGCTCTCACAGGAGCAGGCAGAAAGGCTGTGTGGCCACCAGCTGTAAGAATTGCACTGGGAGCTCTGAGCTGACAAATAAATCCATCTGTAACTATTTCATCTGCAAAGTTACGCTTGGAAATGGTCTGAATTTCACCCTTAACGACACCATAGGGGAGAGTGAACTGCAACCTAAATGTGTTTGAGAGAACAAAACCCAAATATCTCTGGGTAAACAGCAAATAAGCTTTCGGGAGGTGGATAGGGGAGGTATGAAAGGTGGGGGAACACACAAGCAAACACCAGGAAATTGCTCCTTGTTGCTGCAGGCAATAACACTCAGAAATCTCCCCAGCCCTGACAAAATTCCTGACTGGATATACTAAGAAGAAACAAAATGTGCTGCAGCAAATTCTGTCATGAACACGGTTTAGGACACTCAATGACCATCCTCTCCCCCCTTAAATCCTGAGCTTTGAGGCCATAGAAGAAACAGCCATGGAGGAAACTGCCTTCCTCATTAGGGCAGTCCCAGCTCTTGGAGTGGCCTCAGGCCGAGGGTGCCTTGCACCAGGGCCGTGGCTCTTTACAGCCCCTGGAGTGGCTTTTGTCAAAGGCTCCCCTGAGCCGCTCCATCCTCGTTCCAGGTGAGAGCAGATTCCAGGGGCTGCCCTGCAGTTTGCTCCAGCAGCCCCAGGACACATCCTGGCAGGGAGAAAACAGAGTTTTCTCGCAGCGTTTCCTGCTGGGACATCTCGTTTTTGTCGGCCCGCAGATGCCATCGGCTACGAGAGCTACTACAGCCGAGAGCCGTGCCGGCGCAGCTCCAGCCCCAGCGCCGGCCAGACCTGCGGGATGATCAAGAGGTGAGTGCCAGAGGGCTCCTGCCCCAGCAACAGCCACGCCTGCACAACACCGCCAGGAGAGTCCTCGCTTCCTCACTGCAGAAAGAGGCATTAGGTGAAATGAATGGGCAGAAGACCTTTCTCCTTTTTAATGCCTTTATTAAAGAGATTCAGCTCAGGTGGGGAGAAATCGACGGGTCGCGCCCACGCCGCCGCTGTCCCCAAGAGTGGCACGGAGGAGGAGGGTGATGCAGCTCTGTCCGCTGGTCTGCAGGCAGAGCTGGGGACTGCGTCCTCACGGGAGATTCGCAGATTTCTTCTTTTCGGGCCAACACTTCGGGTCCCCTCCCTAGTGAACCTCCTTGCGGTCAGGGTGAGAAGCAAAAAGGATCCAAGCAGGCACTGGACTTCACGCCCATCCTTGGACATCACCTAGGTCCCCTAGTTCTATGTTGGCTCGTTGTTTTTAGGGGTTTTCCTGGAAAATTGTAAGATTTAGTGCAATGCATTTCTCATCTGCATACTAGCTCTGATGCCACTCCCATTCTCCTGGTACTGCAGGGTCCCTGTGTCGCTCCCTGGCAAGCACCAGGGGGACAATGGCTAATCACCAACCATTAATGGGCAATTGAAGAACTCTTAACAATGAAGCTCCCTTAACAGCAGCCGGTCCAACCGGTTTTAACTCTGCAGCCTTAAACAAAAATAGATAACTTTTTATTCATAACATTAGGTATCAGTAAGTGTGACTTGACAGAAGAAGCGAAGGTATTAAAATGGAGTGAGAGTAATTTTGCCGTGCCCCAGTGGGGAGAGGGGCAGGGGATGAGTTCACCACACAATTCCTCAGCCAGCAGTGGGGAGCAGCCACTCCTTTCCTCCTTCCTGCTGAGTCAGGGCACGTAGCACCACAACAAGTTTGTTCCAGGGAGGGTGAAGGTGAGTGTGGCTGGGAGCAGAGGCTGGAAGAGCCTTCCTTTGGAGCCATGCCTCCATGCTTAAGGCACCACTCAGCTGAGCAGAACAAAGAGCTGCTCTCTCTGTCTGGATCAAAGGGGAAAAGCACAGGGTGGGAAAACTGTGATGATCAGGGAGGCAATTTTCCTCATTTTTGCTAATAAATGTGAGAACATGGATGCAGTTATAACAGCAGAAGAGCGTGGTGCCTCTATTGGTTTAAATATTTTATACTGAAATGGCAAATTCACAGTGGGGAGGGCATCACAGTTAAAGCAGAAGAGATTTAAAATTTAACAAGGCCTATGACATGGCAAAGACAAGGAGCAGGCAGTGATCTCCCATTTGGAATGTGGTCCAGGCTTGCCAGGGAGCTGCTCAGGGTTTTCAGTTTTTTTGTTTTTCAGTTGGAAACTGGATCTTCTCTAATAATGAATTCAGTACTGCATCCTGTGCAGTTACATAAGACAATTGTGCTGCCATTCAGAGCACAACTGTGAGCAGCATGGGCAGGGAGCCTGGAGAGACTGAGCCTGAGTCTTTCAGGAACTCCTGAGAGAGGATATCCATGTTCAGAAAAACGGAACGCTCGCTAGCTGAAAAATCAGACCCTTTAAATATGCCTTAAGCATGCAATGCTATTTCTATCTCTGCTTGAGAATCCTAACCCATTTTCTCACTTTACTTAGTCTTCAGTACCCAGCTGTGATACAGGAAATAACTAGGGATAGATTAAAATAAAAACTCAAACTCGCAGCTTTTAGAAAGGTTTGTTACACAAGCTCTGTATTTTAAATTGTATCAGGGTTTTCCTTCAACACAAAGAGATGTTAATCTCTTATAAGCAACTCTTACAACTCTTATAAGCAATTTTCATAATTTTAACATTGTGCATTAATTGGAGTTTCACACCATGAGCCTTTGGGTCTACAAAAAATATTATCTGCTGCATTTCATGCACAATTTAGTAAAGGCTGATGGTTCAATAGTCTGCTGCACTTTTAAAAATACATTTTTAAAGGATGATAAATATATCTACAGCGTAAAAGAAAATAGAAGGCCATGGGAAGAGATGACATCTACTCTGAAGCAGATGGAGGGAAGGCTGAGTCAGAGCTGAAATGAAGGAATGCTCATACCCAGGCCTGTTCACTCATTTTGGTTTTGGCTTCTCTTGGTTCTGCAGATTCTCTGGACTGCTGCATGGGAGCAGCAAAAACAACACGGAAACTGCCACTCCTTCAGCCCCTCCTCTGGGTATGCTCTGCAGGAAATCAGTTCAACAGATGTGTTTGTTTTAGATCGTGTTGCTAAACCAGGCTTTGACATGGAGCAGAAATGTACAGCACATATTCACATGTTGGCAGGCAAGAGGAGTCTGGACATTAATTTTGCTTGGATGTGTATTAACAAATTTCCCAGCTTTAAGTGCCAAATAATCCATAGAGTCTTCAAAACCTCCATCTAGGCAGGGAGGGCCTGTACATTCAGAGCAGCAGTCTGACACAGATATTAGTTTTCTCCTTGTGTAGCATAACTACCACTAAAAAGCCCCACAGAATACATAAAATTTTTAACACACCGGGCACATGGCTTATGAGTACAAATATCCATCTCACCTTACAGTTATACTGTTGTCTTGTAATCCTTATAACTAGGAATTTATCAGAATGATATTTAAAACACAATATTTTGACTATGTAAAAGGGAACAGTTTATTACATTTTTTATTGGTTTGATAGTAAACAAAAACATTTTAACTGTAGTTCTTACCAAAAGAAAAGTTGTTTTCAAACAGCTTTAACGTCAACTGCCTCTGTCAGCCCTGCCTACCTGGGCACCCAGAAACAGCCCAGACTCTCCCTTGCTGCATTTGGTGCTCAGCAGGGGAAGCCCCCAGACAGATGCTGGGAAGAAACGAGAAGTTTCCCTAATTACAACAAGCTGTATACAAACAAAACATCTGCAAAAAAAGCGATGTCCTTGACAAATAGCTGTGTGAGAACTATAGAAACCATTGGAAAATGTCTGGTGACCCATTGGCACAGTGTTTTCCATTTTTCTCAAGGGGAAAAGTCCTGTGTAAGCCAAGGAACTGCTAGAATTCTATACTGCCAGTAGCAATTTGTTAAAGCATTTTAACCAGTGTTTCCCTCCTTAGATGACTTGGATTGTGTTTTACCAGGGGGAACATTTTTCCCAACCTGAGGCTGAAGCTAGTTTCTGACCTCCCACAAAGTTCAATGGGTGTATTGTCATCCCATCAATGGGGGACAGTTTTTGTGCAAGATTTACCTACCTCTCACAGCAGCTTTTCTATATGTGTGCATCTCCAGGCAGAGAGAGAACAGAAAGCCTTGTATTTGTGAACTCTTGCATATGATCCCACGCTTTTATAAGCAACTGAACTCTTTGTTTCTGTGCTGGGTGTTTCTTCCTTATTCCCCCCCTTTGCAGAGAGAACAGAAGGAGTCTATGCATCCATTTTGGTAAATGAAAAAGCTGAGATCACGTCATCGCAGGACTACAGAGTACTTTATGACTACACAGCCCAGGTAAAAAAAGGCTTCAAAGTAAACACTTCAGAGAGTCACATTTAAAATAAGTGATGCTGACTGAAACATCCTGAAAGTGTAAATTCTGTGAAGGAGATGTTATTGTCATCTTACAGCCAGGGACACGAACTGTCCTGCTCCAGTTTAGCACACTGGTTCTCCGTGCTGGAGAGGACAGAATCCCATAAAAGACATTCTTTCCCTGTACTTCCATGTTGCAAGCTGCAGAATCCCAGGGGATATGGTTCATCTGCCAACAAAAGACTGTTAAAGATAACCTAGATCCTGACCTGGGATATTGAACTCTCCCTGACTCCAGTCCTAGCTAGGCAGAATACCATTAGTAAGAGGCTGTGAATGGACTGGTTATAAATATTTGCTAATTCTGATGGACTCCAGAACCTGGACTCCAACCCCACTTGCTTTACATGTCATGTTAAAGGCTCCTTTTGTTAGTTTTACAGCAAAAGAAGTTTAGTTAGATCAGCAAAAGAAGCAGCATCCAGGAGGTTTTATGTCTCAGTGCAGAGAGAGCCTCACACCAAGGGACCTGCCACCAACGGCCAACGTTGAAGGAACGTGACAGTGACAAAATAGATAACTGCCAGATAAATTATGAAAACAGAGAAAAAGCTCTAAAGGAGCACTATCCTTTCGGTACAGCAGTATTCCAACACCTTTTATTCAACAGTGGGTTTTTTTGGGGTTTTTTTGCTTCATTTTAAACTTTCTTTTATTATTTACATGAATTTTCATGCAAGCACAGTTGAAAGCACCTCATTGTTAATGGCAGTTCCCCTAAGGAGAATACTGGATCACTTCATTACTCAAGGAATCCCTTAAAACTGTGCCACACAGGGATATTACCTGCTGAGAAAAGAGCCTGTTACTACCTTTAGTATATTGTATATTGAGGCCTCTCATTTTTTGAGTCCATTCTTACCTATTCAGGTGCATTAAATTGAGTTTTAGCTGACACCTCAAACATCTCTGGAAGCCTCCCTTACGCTGTTTTCTATTTACTACACTGTGGGCAGCAAAGTGGTTTCCTATGGAAAATAGGACAGCACCACTGAACACTGATGGCTGCCTGGGAGCTCGGGGAGAGCTTATTTGCAACTGCTGCATTTGTCTGGGGATGAAAGTCACTGCTGTCCAAGAGCCACTGTCCCCCAGTGGTTACTGCTGTCCCCTGCTAAAAGAGCTGAGAGACCTATTTCAGGCATGGATTAGCAGAGGCACTGTTATCCCCCTTGGGAATTAAGCTGTGCTCTATTTAGCAACACCTGCAGACTATGCAGGTCATGGTGAGCTGCTTTAGGGGAGAGGTGTTTAACCCCTTCTGGACTTCCCCAGTGATAAAACCATCAGGTTGTGCAGGAGGAGGCGCCCTGGAGGCTGGGGAAATCTGAGCATCCTAAAGAAATAGCCAAAGTGCTTAATCCCTCACTGTGTGGTATTTCAGAACGAGAAGGACACCGGCAAGACTGTTGATGAAGAGCAGGGTTAAAAACCCCCACCAGATATTTCCTGGGCCCTCCTGTTCTGTCAGGCTGTCCCATCTCTTTCCCTGTCTCCTTTCAGAACATGGATGAGCTGGACATCAGTGAAGGAGACACCGTGGTTGTCATCGCAGAGAACGACGACGGCTGGTGGACAGCAGAGAGGAATGGGCAGCGAGGCTTCGTGCCAGGCTCTTACCTTGAAAAGCTGTGATGAAAAGAATCCCCAGTGCTCAGACTTTACAAATATTCTGTTACTGAAACAGCCAGCACACAAGGTCTGCTTCAGCTGGCCAAGAGCATCCCAATAATAATGTTTTTTACAACCACCAGTCAGGAAATAACCAACTGACCATGCTTTTCTCTCCCTTGCTCCTGCCTCATCCCATTATTCTCCTGGCCTACTCTATCTGAAAAAAACTCCTGAGAGATTAGGACTTGCACGTTTTGGCACAGTCCTACCCTCAGCACACTGTGCTGCCAGCAGCGTTTCAAAGCTTGGTGATCCTGGGAGTAAAATCCGGCGCAGATCTCAGCTGTGCAAAGGGAAAGATCGGAGAAGCAAGTGCAGTTTCTGCAGGCTGCTGCAGTTTCTGTCCCCAGCCAGCCTTGGAGCCACCCTTATGGTCATGACAGCCACATTCTCTGCCACAGATCCCTTTCTCTCCATGCACAGGCCATGCTGGCATTTTTGACAGAGGGTGGTTTATCAGTCATGGATGAAAATAAAAAAATCAGTGAATGCACCCAGAGAGGAGCACCTGAAGGACCAGGACACATCCCTTGTAGGAAATCTTGAGACAGTCCCCATCACAACCATCTCCTAACACAATGAAATCCATGCTAGCCATGGGCTCTGCTCTGCTCTGGATCCTGGGACAGATGATGGGCCCGAGGCTTGCTTTTGTCTTGGCTGGAAGGTTTCCCTAACGCCTCTCTGGGATTATGAAGTTTAAAAATCCAACAACACAAACAGCAGCTAAGCCAAGCCTCCAGGAGGGTTGCACTGCCCTGATTGTCTCCTCTGAGCCCCAGAGAATTGCCAATTTCCTGCCCCTGCAATGTCAGCAGAGCAGCCTCCCTTCCACCTGCTCAGCTCTGCTGCTCTGTCTCCTTCTGCAGCCCCTGCACCTCTGCCACAGGGACATCCTGGGCTCCTTCCAGCACCTCTAATGTGCTCATTCTGCAACAAAACCTGTGCAGAGATGTTGCACTGTGTGCAGGTTCACTGCATTTCACAGATTTCAGCTCTATCAGTCTTTCTGGTTTAATATTTAAGAATGTTTCCAACTGTTACTGTATAAGGAATTGGTGAATAGTTTCTGCCATTCTTCCCTTTTCAGCATTTCAAGGTAGTTAAAAAGATTTAAAACCTAGTGATTTAATTTTAATCAGAACAAACTAATTCTGTGGGCAGAATGACCATTTGCCAATGTTTCAGGCCTTAAAACTGAATCAAGACAATGAAAATTAATCTTATTGCTAACTGAAAGGCAATAGAGGGACTGTTAGCTCAGACACACAGAAGAAAACAAGAGAAAACAGGACAAAAGAAAAAGGTGTAATGGTCAATTGCAATCTTTTCTTAAATGAAACACAGTGAAGGTCAGAGGCACTTGCAGTATCTTATTCAATCCTTCCTTCAAGGATGGAACAGAAGTTCCAGGCCCCTTCCCTCTGGCTGCCTGCACTCCTTGCCATACTCCCTTGTCCTTGCCACACTCCCTTGTCCTTGCCACACTCCCCAGCTCCCCCAGCACATCCACAGCAGGGCTGGAGGGCCCCGAGCCCCTGGCACCAGCACAGCCTGGGGGCTGGCTCCCCCAGCACATCCACAGCAGGGACAGCACCAGCACAGCCTGGGGACTGGGATGGCACTGAAGGCAGCAGAGTGAGAGCAGCAGCACTGGCCAGGCTGGAAGGGAAGGAGAGGCCCCTGGGACACACCTCAAGTGACATAGAGGTGCACAGTGGATCCAGCCCGGCCAGGACAGGACGAGGGGAGGCTGCCACAGCATCCCTTGTTAGCTACAGCAGGAGAGGAAACCAAAAGCACAAGAGATTTAATGTATTCACTTCTTGAACACTCAGCCTTCCACAAAGAAGACTGTAATGAACCAATAAATAAATAAATAAAATTAGATGGATATTTTGCAGATTATCTTAATTAAACAGGAAAAAAACACCCCAAAACCACTGAGATGCACCTTCTTTACTGGTGTGGGATGCACAGATTTTGCAGGACTCCTCAGTTCCCTGGGGGCCCAACTTCACACAAGGCACTGCAGGACCTAGTCTTGATTGCCCTGAGACCCAGCTGCAGATCATCTCTGCTTCCGTGGACCACATGGTCTACATCACCAACAGGCAGCTGGTGGAATGGTGGCTGCTCTTTCTCTCCCATCAAATCATTCCATATTTTTGATGTTAAAATCAGGAAACCAATTTCCTTTCTACCAATCTCTTCTTCTGTCGAGTAAACACTGTTGAATGACAAGAGGCTATAGGTATTTCAAACTCTCCCCAGTGTCACAGCATTTGGGTCCCACATGCTACCTCCAGACTGTTCAGGAAATGAAGAATCAGCAGCAGTGTTTTCTCATGAATCCTCTGCTTCACATTGTCCAGATATGGCTTGGAACTACTTATCAGCCAAATTCTTCAGTTTGCCCTATCTGCATGGCAGCACTTGTCACAAATAGAACAGAGATATCAAGAAATACCCACACCCTCTGAGAACACCCACATTTTAGGTGTCATCCATCTACCCACCCCCATCAGCAGGAAAAGCAGGAAGGTCAGTTGTAGGTTACTGCCTTAATAACAATGCCCTTATTAACAGTTCCTCTCCAGTTTGATAACATTTGGGCAATAAAACTGACACAATCAAGTTATTTTTCAATTTTCAGCTAAGGTGGAAAGCTGAAATGGGCCCTTTCCAGTGGCATTCTTATACTAAAGTCAAAACATGTGTATTATTTTACCATTTACTACCAATTAAGGAGAAGAACAGGAAAACCTGTATGAAATAACATTTAACCAATGACAACCACACGTAATTAGGAAATGTCTGCAAGTATAGGGTGAGGTCCATCTCTTCACAGAACAGATTTCTCATATTAAGAGCCCACAAGGCAGTAGTAACAACAAAGTAGTATCAGACTAGAAACAGAGATCCAACAGACCCAGCGCTCGAACAGCCAACACAGCCAGGCCTGCTGCCAAGCTCAGTGATCCATAGAGCCAGCCAGCTTCCAGCATTTCCAACAACCAGGCAGCTAAGAGGAAGAAATCAACCTCTTCCCAGCTGGGCATGTAGCAACAGCAGGAGCACTGATCAAGGTTTGAAGAGTTTGCCACCTCCCCCAGGACCCCTGGCTTGAGCTCTGTAGTGTGGACAGGCTCAGCACACATCAGCCAGAGTGGTAACAGATCATGGGCATACCCAGCAGAAACTCTTACCCTGGCTTCCTTCATTGTCACGGTGTGATGTCATGGTTTGCCTCAGATACCCCGGGTTTCTCCCTGAAGTTTTCCTCCCAGGTGTGTCAATCCCCTCTCCTTCCCCCAGCCAGAGACTCCTGCTGGGCACTGGCTGTCAATCCTGGAATTCCAGAAGGGGTTGAGTGATTGGGCAGATTCAAAAAGTGCCCTCCACCCCGGGGGGGGGCATTGGGCCATGCAGGTGTCCTTTGTCCCTTAAGATCTCCTCTCCCGTCCCTGGTTGGTGGCTCCCTATCCCTTTCCTCCCCCTCTTCCCCGGGTTTAAAGGACAGGCAACTACACAGCCTGGGCTCTGCTGGAACTGTTGCTGGATTCAGAGGCCTGTAATAAAAACTCTGGATTAAAACCCTCCATCAGAACTGACTCCTTTCCATCACCATCGCTTCTCCAGCACAGGGAACCTGGGGAGCGACCCTCCACAGGAGGAAGCTCCACGCCACCGCAGCTCCAGCACTCCTGGACTTGTCTCCACGTGCCCAGCTGTAACACCCAGCTAGCCAAAGGTGTCTCCGGGGTGAAACACCACAGTTGCCACTGTTTGGCTCAGATGCAGGGGCCAGGCAAGCCAAGGCACGTCCCATCAGCAATATTGGTAAATACCAATACTTCGTGTCTCAAGAGCTGAACTCATGGTCTGATCTCCTCTCCAGAGGTAATTTTCTCCCAGTTGCAGCTCACACCTCACTGATTACTGAATGCACTTGAAGTGGAAGCGCATGGATCCAAGAGGAGACCATTTCAGCCAAGCTGGGTGTCTGACAGGAGCCTGGGTGGACACTGAGGAACACCACCCACACTGGTGGGTAACTTACACTCTGTGGTACCCCAGGAGCTCCTGGCAGTATCACTGCTGTGGCTCAGATGAGCTACATCACTGCTATCCAAACACGGTATGAAAAGTCACTGTTCACCTCCAGTGTGGAGAGGCAACAACTCTGCATGGGACAGGACAAACTGTAGAGGCCTGAACAGCAGCCTAGGCTGCTCAGCACCATCTCTTTCCCCTGGCTTTCTTGTTCTCCAGCTCGCAGGGCTGGGGCATTGGACACAAGAGCAGTCACCAGCCACATAAATACCAGTACTTCCCATGTCCTACACAGGACCACACTCAGAGCTAGTGAGCAAGTCAGGAAACAAAGCTGTGATGCTGAGTCTTACCTGCCTTCAGGAAAATAAATGGCTGCTGAGGGACTACAAGGGCTGATGTGCTGGGTTTTGCAGGGGAAGAATACTTGCGTGGAGACTGAGATTCTGGAAGAGGAATTAGTGTCCTGGTTATTAACGAAATGCCAACGCCACATTCACTTGAGAGAGCAAACTACTCCAACTGTTAGTCATCATCTGTTCTTTGTTAGCAATTACCTAAATTCGGCAGCCAGCTCACATTTTGCTCAGAGCCACAGCCACCTCAGATTTGTGCACTCCTGGATCCTGCACAGTGCAAATCTGATCTGTTTCTAGAAGAGCTGGATAATCATATTTCCATCAAATTAGCCAGTTCCACGTGGTACAGTGCTCAACTTGTCCTTCGACCAGCTGCTGAAGGACGGCTGACACCTGATCTGGGACAAAGCTGCGGGAGCACCATTAAGAGCACATTTGCAGCCTATCACTGCTGGGTGACATGTGGCTGCAGCCATTCTGTCCCACACACTGGCCCAAAAGGCAAATGTACTGTGTTGTTCTATTCTGACTGAAAGCACAGACTAAATATTGCTTTTGGATAGAAAACTGTAACAGAAATCAGCGGGACCTCCCAGCAAAATCAGCAGAAATCAGAGCTGACATCCCTGAAATTTCTAAGGAGAAAGTATCATCCAAAACCACCAGGCAAACAGAACTCTGAGCACAGCTTCGAGTTTATAACCAGGGGTTCCACATATCATCCTGAGGACTGAGTGTACAAAACCTGCTGGGGAGCAGAGGTGAAATGGGAACAAATACCCTAAGAGGATGTTTGAAGGCAGGAGGAATTTTACTTACCAGATCTAAATGAGCCATTGTTAACCAGATTTGGAAGATTAAACCAGCAGGCGTATCCCAGCTTTGCTGCCCTTACCGGAATTCAAGCGAACACCAAATCAAGGCAGACATAAAGAGAAGTAACCAGTGTGTTAATGGGTGCAATGCTGAAGGAGCTACAGCTGCAAAGTGGTGCTTTGAAATTCTCTGACTGAAATGCAGGCATTTGCCGCAGCCTCTGCCTCAGGGTAAATGGACACAGGACAGCCCAAGTTATTCCATTTTAACTTGAACGAATTTTCCTGCGTGTCGGATTACACACTTGGATTGTTCAAGCAGCCCAGGCTAAACCTTGAATAAATCAGTGGCTTCGGAAGCAAAGGTGTGACTCTGGAGAAGTCGCACCTCACCCCTCAACTTCCCCATTCATCGTGGGGAGCTTGCAATCCACTCTGACACCGAGCTGAAAATCCTTCTGGCACACTCAGCATTTTGGTGATTGTTCAATCTCAGACCCAGCCTAAACAAGCAAGCACTGGCTGGTGGTCGGATCAATATTTGCAATGGAAAATCTCATACAAGAGGACAAATTATATTGTAACGGGACTGTTTTGTAACGGGACTGGCTGGCTCTGAGGAAGGGGCTGCAGGCATAACACTCACACTCAGTGCAGGGAGCCTCTGGGGGAGCTCAGTGCATTCCCTTCCACTCTGCAAGGACACAAATACTCAACAGCTGCATCTAAAGAAGGATTGTTCTGAATTTTTAAGCCGAAAACAGTCCATGGAGGAACTTCTTGGGAAAGTGGTGAACTTTAACCTCGCCAGGATAAGAATGCTAACGTAAATGTGAATGGGAAAGCTTTCAATGCACTGATAGACGTGAGAAGTGCT